GCGCCGCCGACACCGACGACGACGACACCGACGACGTCTCCAACGAATTCGACGACGACAGCGACCACGACGACGACGACACCGACGACGACGACGCCGACGACGACGACGATGACAACGACGACGACGACGACAACGACGTCGACGAGGGAGGAGGGAGGACGACGACGGCGACAACGACGTCGACGAGGGAGGAGGGAGGACGACGACGGCGACAACGACGACAACGACGACAACGTCGAGGGAGGAGGGAGGACGGCGACGACGCGAACGACGAAGGAGGAAGGACGGCGACGCCGACGACGACAACGACGAGGGAGGAAGGAAGACGACGACGACGACAACGACGACGACGACGACGACGGCGACGAAATAAGAGGGACGACGACGAGTCGTCGACGACGGACGACGACGACGACGAGGGAGGAGGAGGAGGAAGGACGACCACGGCGACAACGACGACGGAAACGACCACGACGCCAACGAGGACGACGACGACGAACACGAGGAAAGACAGAGGACGACGTAGGCGACGACGACGACGACGACGCGGGAGGAGGGAGGACGGCGACGACGACGACGACGACGACGCAAGAGCGCGCGAGCACGCTTTTGTTGAAGATCCGTGTTGCGAAACCTTGTGTTTTCGTATGTTTTTTGGACGCGCGATTTTGACATCCTTCCAAAACCGATGGGTTTTGAAGGATTTCGGCGTACGCGCGCGACGACGCGCGCGTCTGCACTTCGTCCCGTTGTTTCGCAAAATCTTGAAAAACCAATGGTTTTCTTAAGATTTCGCAAGAGCTCGCGCGGAAGCTTTTTTCAGCAAATCAGCGTTGCGAAACCATGTGTTTTTGTATGTTTTTTGGGAACTCGATTGCGAAATCCTTCCTGCACCGAAGGTTTTTGAAGGATTTCGGCATGCGCGCGCGACGACGCGCGCGTGTGCACTTCGTCCCATTTTTTGCAAGGGATTCGTGAACAAGTGTTATGTTAAAGCAAAAAAAGTCACCGCATAGTGTTTTTTACTAGGGAACCTCAGGGGGGGGGATACCGCCCTCCCGGGGATAGTGAAAATTCAGATTTAGGATGGACATGTAGTCATAATCGCGTATGGTTTACATACCCGAAAGTTGAAGCGATAACGCCGGGGGGGGTAGATCCTATTCTGTTTTTACGAAAGAGAATTCACATGCCGAACTTGAAGTTGTCAACTCCACTGCTCGCGCAATCATCCCACCCACCCGCAACTTGGTTTGCAAAACCCATGCGGGACCGAGCACAGATATCGCTCCGGGGTCGTCTTGGAGCCCTCGGGGGCGTCTCAAGAGCGCCCCAAGAAGGCCGGAGAAGCAAGACGGCCGACGACGACGACGACGACGACGACGACGACGACGGCGGCGACGACGACGAAGCCGACGTCGACGACGACGAAGACGACGACGCCGACGCCGACGACGAAGACGACGACGACGTCGCCGACGAAGAGGACGACGATGCAACGCAGGCTTCGACGACGGGTCGTGCTCGCTCGAAGAGGACGACGAAGGAGGAGGGAGGACGACGACGGCGACAACGACGACAACGACGACAACGAGGCAGGAGGGAGGACGGCGACGACGCGAACGACGAAGAAGGAGGAAGGACGGCGACGCCGACGACGACAACGACGAGGGAGGAGGGAAGACGACGACGAGACGACGACGACAACGACGACGACGACGACGGCGATGAAATAGGAGGGACGACGACGAGACGCCGACGACGGACGACGACGACGACGACGACGACGACGAGGGAGGAGGAGGAGGAAGGACGACCGCGGCGACAACGACGACGACGACGCGGGAGGAGGGAGGACGGCGACGACGACGACGACGACGACGACGCCGCAAGAGCGGGCGCGCACGCTTTTGTTGAAGATCCGTGTTGCGAAACCTTGTGTTTTTGTATGTTTTTTGGACGCGCGATTTTGAAATCCTTCCGAAACCGATGGGTTTTGAAGGATTTCGGCGTACGCGCGCGACGACGCGCGCGTCTGCACTCCGTCCCGTTTTTTGCAGAGGATTCTCGCGACGGCACACGCGCAAGGGCGTTCGACAGATTTCGACATGCGCGCGCGACGCCCGTTTCGTAGCATGTTGTGAAAATCTTGAAAACCAATGGTTTTCTTAAGATTTCGCAAGAGCTCGCGCGGAAGCTTTTTTAGCAAATCAGTGTTACGAAACCTTGTGTTTTTGCATGTTTTTTGGAACTCGATTGCGAAATCCTTCCGGCACCGAAGGTTTTTGAAGGATTTCGGCATGCGCGCGCGACGACGCGCGCGTGTGCACTTCGTCCAACGTTTTGCAAGGGATTCGTGAAAAAGTGCTATGTTAGAACAAAAAATGTCACCGCATAGTGTTTTTTACAAGGGAACCTCAGGGCGGGATACCGGTTGGCCTGGGACATTGTGATTTCATATTTAGGATGGACATGTGGTCATAATCATTTGTGATTTACATACCCGAAAGCGGGGGCGATAACGCCGGGGGCGGGGGGGAGTTTATTCTCTTCTGAGAAACAAGAACCCATGCTGTGTAATCGATGCTGCGAAAACGATGTGGTGCAATGTGTGTGGTGAAATCGATGTGATGCGCTAGATATGTTGTGCAATTAATGTTGTGACATCTCTGTGGTGCAGCCGGTGTTGTGCAATCTATGTCGTGCAGTAAACGTTGTCCAGTCCGATGTGGAGCAATCTCTGTGGTGCGCTCTATGTTGTGGAATCTTTGTAGAGCAATCCATATGGTGCAACCTATGTGTTGCAAGCCATGCTGCACAATCGATGTGGTGCAGTGCGCGTTGTGCAGTCCATGTGGTGCCATAATTCATGTAGGTAGGTGGTTGAATATATGCGGTGCGTAAGGTATGTTGTGCAATCTTTGCGGTGTGCCATCTATGCGGGCGGCGACGAAGCGGCGATGGGGCGGCGACGGCGAGCACATAGCCGCCAAACCGGCAGACAGGCCCAGACGACGGGCGGCGACGAGTCGGCGACGAGGCGGCGACTGCGGCAACATAGCTGCCAGACCGGCAGACAGGCCCAGACGACGGTTGGCGACGAGGCGGCGACGGCGGCAACATAGCCGCCAGACCAGCAGACGAACCCAGACGACGGGCGGCGACGGGGCGGCGACGGCGGCTACATACCCGCCAGACCGACACACCAGCCCAACTCCTTCGAATAGAAAGACAAGATTAGTACAAGCACCGTCTGGAGAATGAACTTGAGGGACCCACGAACCCTGTTTGGAAGTTGGGTGGAATCATCAGCTGTCTCACTTCTCTTGTCACGCCTCGATGTGTGAGGATGTCTCAGACGAGAGCCAAGCTCTTGAAGGTACGTCGGACTCGGGAGTTTATTCAACATCTCTCTTTTGTCTGAGGATGTCTGCAACGAAATGGCACGCCACATCAAGCTTGATATTCAACGCCCGAGCTCAATTACATTTTCTCAGGGTGCCAAAGCTTGAGTTTTGAGAGCGTGCGAGGATGTCTCAGGCAAAGCGCCCCCCCTCCCCCCCCCCAAAAAAAAACCATGTTGGATATCCGACGCCCGATCTCTAACATCTCGATTATCGGAAGATGTCTTTGGCGAAACCTTCATTTTCGAGAACCAACATCGTAAACCAACTCCTCCAATATCAACACTTTGAGGATGTCTCAGGCGAAATGTTCTCCCCACACCATGTTGAATATCCGACGCCCGATCTCCAACATCTAGTTATGGGGAGAATGTCGAAGGCGAAGCCTCGCGTGTGAGAAACAGCGTGGACACACAACTCCTCAAGCATCCCCATGTTATCACGACGTATCAGGCGACCCCCTCCCCACACACCATGTTGACAATCCGACACCTGCTATCCAACATGTTACTTTCTGAATATGTCTGGGACGAAAACGTAATGTTCGAAAATCAGCGTCGTAGGACAAGTCCTCCAGCACCCACATTTCGCGAGGATATCACACCATGTTTGGTATCCCCTTCCCGATCTCCAACATCTCAGCGTGTTGAGGATATGTCAAGAAAAAGCTTCATTTGTGAGATCTCAGGCGAGTGCATGATTCTTGAACATCAGCGTGGTACAACAACTCCTCCAGCATCCCTAAATTGGCGAAACGTTCCCCCCACACCATGTTGAATATCCGACGCCCCCGTGGGCACGCGCAAAAACGTGCCCCGCGCGCGCGCCCCCCTCCGCGCACATTTTTTAACGTGTGAAGAATCCGACGTTAATAAGTTGGATACCCACCACCGCGTTGCCGCCAGGAACACATAAACATACGTAACGAACTCATGCGCGACGAGACGCACGATGGAGACCCCCCCCCTTCAGAACACGTATTTTTACGTGCCCCATTCCGATGCTACCTGCTCGGAGTCAGTTCGGTGCAGGGCCAGCGGCCCGCACGCTGGAAGAGAACCCTGGGCCTAAGCCCTTACCAGGAAAAAACTATGACATCAGCAGAAACCACGGAAAGCCTACAGTAACCTCTCCTCCCGGATCAGCCGAGCCATAAAGGGGGGCAACTCCTGGAAGTCTTCGCGGGCACACTGGAATTACTGAGCCAGTGCAAAAAGCTACGGTGCCCGACTAAGCCATACTGCGCAAGATCAGGCCGAACTAGTAAGCCAAATCAGTTTAGATTGCGCCTTACTTTGCTGGACGGGGCCAGACGATCGCCAAGGAACTACCAGGGCCGCTGACCAACTCACCCTCGCAAGACTTGCGACCTGGCCATGGGGATCTGTAACAGCACAGCGTCCCAGGTTCGCAGTCTTCCCCCGCCCTCCCCCCTGCACCGCGACAACAGTGGCGATCACGTGAGGAATGGTGCCACCAACGTGGTCGTAACAAGTACGGTCGGCAAGAAATCCTGCTGCCAGGCGCTTCTCGCCCGTTCCTCCAGGAGACGAGGAGCACAACCCCTGGGTCGCAATCCTGCCCCCCAGCGGCCTCACCGGCTGCTGCATCTGCGCCACAGCGACAGTCGACCGTCGAGCAAGCGCCCCTGGCGCTGGCACTGTGGGCGTGAGCCTCGGCTCGGAAGAGTCGCGGCTTATCCTCCTCATTTTTTGACGTTGCGCAAACTTAATGCAACAGCATGGAGCGTCATTTATCCTCCTCCTCCATCACTTTTCCTTACACATAACTCGTCCCTGTCGCACACGCAGGCGTGTCGGTAGGGCGGGCTGGGTGTCCTGAAACTTGAGACTTGACTGTTTATTACATGGCCAAGACTGCCCAATAAACGCCACTTCTGTGGTCGGGGCCTTTCTCCTCCGCGGACTGCCGCACTTTCCGGCCCCTGGCGCCGCGCGGCGTGCCGCATCGGCACCACGAGCAGCGGCCCAGCCCTCACAAGTGGCGGGGCGCTCCGGTCGTCGGGGAAACACGCTCCAGATGCAGCCGGGCGCCCAGCCCAGGCTGCCATGGGTATGGGCTCGCCCCGCCGCTCGGCGGCGAGCAAGGGGGGGAAATCAGAAGGAGAAGGCCTTCTCAGAAGGCGGCCGGGCTTCTCAGAAGCCCTCGCGCCTTCTGAGAAGTGATCTGTGTCTTCGGGGAAGGCTCAACAAACTCATCAGAAGACCAGGGCGCTTCCGAGCCTTCTGAGAAGGCCCGCCCCTTCTCACTTCCCCCCCTCGCTCGCCGCCGCCGAGCCACGGCGACCCGGTAGAAGTCCAAGAGTTTGCGGCCATCCGCTCCCTCCACGCCGACAGGTGCACCGAGTGCAGTCCTGAGACCAGGGACAACGCTCAGACCTTTAGCAACGGCTGCCGCGACGTGAAGCACATCACGCTGCCTCCTCCTTCCTCCCCCGGAATCAAGATCCGCTCAAACCACTCCCCAGACCGTTCCAATAGTCCACCTTGGCCAATGTTTCATCTTGGATTGATGCTTGGCGGTCCCAGGGCCCGCGACGGGCCTCGAACGGCCGAAAACGTACTACAAAATATCGAACATGATCCTTCTCCTCTTCCTCCCGTACTCCTGTCCTTTCGCCATCCATAGTGACCTCCTGGACCACGCCAGGACTCCGGAGCAGGTGCTTGGTGCATGGCTTTTACCTTCATGATTTCTTGGACATTTGTTGGATCAACGCACGCTTCGATACTACACCGCCAGCAGCCAACTTGGCTCAGACGAATCCCTGGAACCCGATACTGACAACAAAAACTGCATCGACGTGCTTTCATCGTCTCGGGTCGGATAAAACAGGGCGGGGGATACCAAATGGGGGATTAGCGAATCGGCTGCATGCAGCTGGCTTTCCATGCACCTTCTGGTGCCAGAGGCGGCCATGCATCGAGGAAAAAACCTGGTGACAGGGCGGGAACTGGCTGCGTGCAACAGAGTTTTGCCCCCCCCCCCCCCTCCCCTCCCGATGTCCTCTTTCTGTCCGACCCGATCGTCGAGCTTGGTTGTCTTGACCTGACCTGTGGCGACCATCGACGGCTGCAAGGCTGCACCGACGGCGCGATCATCGTCTGGCCTGGCTGTGAGGGGCAACGATAAGCGAGACAGGTGACCTGCTCAGGGCGGGAAACATCGACCTGGAACCGGTGGTGCATCGCCGATAGGTCGGCAACAGGCCCCCGATAGCGACACCCCCCGTTCCTGGGCGGGGTGGGCTATCGGGCCCCTATCGGCAATCAGTGGGCGACTGGGGGTCGATGGGCTCCCCCCTGAGCCACTCCTCCTACGTCGTGTTGGTTGTGGGTGGTCTTCGGGCCATACCTCGGGAACTCTGGCGGCCGTTTGGGACGATTCCAGCACCTCCAGAGTCCTCTCGATGAGGCACACCTGGTGGAAGCAACCACCCTGGGGCCCTTAAAAACTTCGAACACTTGCGCAAGCCGTGGAAATCACCTGGCGGATCCCGGAAACCCTGAACCCAAAAACGTATTCATCTCTTGGGGGCGCATCTTTTACTTCCGCCGCATTTCGCTGGCCTCCCGCTGGCGGAGGCGCCTCGCTTTACTTCCACCGCCCTTCCGCCGAGGAAGAGACGACAACCCCTTCAATCCTCGAAGGCAAGGCCCTTTTTGGAACGCTCCACCTGAAGACTTGCATCCCCCCCTGAGCAGGTCCCCCCCTCACTTTATGATGTTCCTGTCTACTTTAGCCTCGATCACCAGAAATAATTTCGTGCACCAAGAAAGGACCGAGACTGGAGAGTTTTCAAGTGTCGGGCCATGGGAGGCGATTGTCGTTCGACACTTCGCCAGCGTGTCGAGCAGAATGATTCGGTACCTTGCTGGGTGCTCGAAACTATTTGATGGGTGTGGCCCCGAAGTACGATGGGAAGAACACAACCCTCACTGGCTGCCTCCACCCGCTCGTCCGGCCAAGGCCCCGGCGCGGGCGTGAGCAGCGCGGCCTGCGCGCCCGCGGCTCCGCCGGGCGACGGCGGCGCAAGGCCCAGTGCCTGGCCGCGGGAGGCCCCCTCTCCCGGCGGATCGGGGGAGGAGGAGCAGGGAGGGAGGGAGGGAGGGCGAGGAGCAGGACGAGGATGCGGAGGAGGAGGAGGCGGCGGACGGGGAAGGCGGGATGAGGGGGCGGGGAGGAAGGAGGGAAGAGCAGGGCGGGGAGGTGGAGGAGGGGGCATGTGGGGGCGAAAGGATGATGATGATGATGAGGAGGAGGAGGAGGAAGAGGAGGAGGAGGAGGAGGAGGAAAAGGAGGAGGAGGAGGAGGAGGCCATGGGCAGCACCCTGGCCGCGTGGTCCCCGGGGCGACGAGGAGCAAGGCGAGCCTGGCGACATCCCCTCGGCCGCCGAGTGGGCGGATGGAAGGCTCGGCCGGCCATGCCTCCCGCGACGCGGCGTGTATCGATCGGGCCGTGCACAGCCTGCCCGCACGAAGTGGCTCGCGAGCCTCGATGTGACGCGGCCCACAGGGCATCCTTGCCGTGCCTTCTCTCGGATCGGGGCCCCGTGACCTCGCCATCGCTCGGACGTCCACTCCTCGTTCTTTTTTCGGGGGGCAAGATCATCCAGGACACTCCTCGATGGTCCTCGCCAAGAACAAATGCTCACGTCCGAGCGATGCCGAGTTCGACTGCACGCAAGAGTGACCCTGGGTAAGAGTGACCTCTGGTGCGCGGCTTTTTCGGGGCCGCGCGGGGGCCAAACACAAGCGCGCAAGACACCACTACCGCGCCGCGTTCGGCGATCGGGGGACCCCATTGGGGCCCGCACCACAGGTCACTCCAGCGAAAGGTCACCCTTACGCGCAGTAGTCGACGCATGCCTCGGGACTTCCAGGCCAACCGGGGACACTGGCGCGCCCACGAAAGCTGCAGCCGTGGGTCCACATGCACTCTCTGGACTCTGCGCGCCCCCTCCCGCCGGACTCTGCAGAATCCTGGTCCACAACGTCCTGGCTCCCAGGGCCCTGACCGGATACCTCTCGTCGGCTTCCCCCGGCTGCAGGGGGAGGGCTCCCCCGCCTCCGAACACCGCCACAGCCGAGGCTGATCGAAGAGCACGCTCGAGAGGGCACAGGACCCTCCCGTGGGCCAGGACACAATGGTTTCCTTGACTTGGCGAGGTCGACCGGGTTTCAAAGGGTGTGGATTGCCTGCGGCACGAGCGCTGGGAGGCGCGGATTGCCGGCCGCGCAGGCGCTGGGGGGTTGCTGCCCGCGGAGGCGCTGGGATGCGCAGATTGCCGGCAGCAGCGGCGCTGGGAGAGGCGGATTGCTGCCCGCGGAGGCGCTGGGATGCGCAGATTGCCGGCAGCAGCGGCGTTGGGAGGCAAACCACAATGGTTTCCCAATCGGCCTCAACTGTCGCCACCGTTCCGAATCCCCCCCGCCCCCCGGGGAGACTCCGCAAACCCTCCCAGGCGGCGCACAGACGGGGGCGCCCGGACGAGGGCGGCGGCCCCCCCCCCCCTCGAAGGCGGGGGGCCTCTCAGAGGGGGCCGCGCGCTCCGGAGGAGGCCTCCCAGGCAGCAGGGAGGGGGGAAGGCTCCTCAGAAGGAGGCTGCTTCTTAGAAGGCGCCTGCCTTACATTGGTAGACGAGGCCCGCGCCTTCTGAGACGCAGCCTCCTTCTCGGAAGCCTTCCCCCCTCCCCCTCCCCCCCTCTGCGCGTGGCCCAGGCAGGCAGCGCTTCTCAGAGGCTCCCTCCTCTCTGAAGTCCGACGTCGCGAAACGAGTGAGACATCGCCAGAAATCGCGGCCGAGAGCCCAATTGCCCAGCTTCCTGCCCCAGCATTCGCGGCAGATCGATCTGTGGCGGTCCTGGGGCCCAGAACCTGGCGACATCGCCCAGCGGGGAAAGAACTGCGACGCCAGTGTCTCCAGGAACCTCGCGACCCCCCCAACACCTCTCACTTCGCGCCGCCGACCTCCCAGACTAGGTGGCGATATCCGAACAATACCCCCACCAACCATCGATTATCCTGAATCGATCGGAGGCGGGGTAGGAGTCGGATTTCGCCACGTGTTCGAAGGATTCCGAACCCCACCCCCGCTGCCCATCGTCGTGGCTTTCGGGCCATAACTCAAGCCTCCGGCGGCCGTTCGGGACGATCTGGGCAACCCCCAGAACGCTCTCGGCGAGGCGCAGCCGCTGGAAGGCACGTCGAGGCTGGCAAGCCGCCGAGAGCCCCAGAAAGCGCCGAAAACCTCGAGCCCCGAACCTCGAATCGTTGATCGGCGAGGGTGGGGCTCCCAAACATCACCTACAATCGATCGAGCCAGCCTCCAAAGGCTTAGGTCGGGCATGTCCTCATACAGGTGGACCTTGAAAGGAAAAAGTAATCAACAAAAAGTGCGCAAACGTATTCAAAAATAGTCAAAAATCGTCGCTCGACTATTTTGTGGACTATTTCTGAACATTCCTCCTGTAGATGCTCGGCTTAAGCGGCCACTCCCCCTCCCTGGACGGCGGGGCGGCGGGCCGCGTCGGAGGACTGCGGCGACAGCACCGGCACGTTGCCGGGGGGCGGGGCGCCGTTCAGCGGGGTCACCTCGCCCGTTCCTCCTCCTCGTCGTCGTCGTCGTCTCCGGCGCCCTCGTCGTCGTCGTCGTCGTCGCCGTTGTCGTCGTCGCCGTTGTCGTCGTCCCCTGAGATCTGGTTGTTGCAAAGGCTTCGGGCCCCCAGACCCTCACGGATCGATCCAGCTCGAAAAATATAGCAGAAGGATGGATTCTGGGGCTCTGGTTGTGCTTGATCGCGATGCTGTTTGTTTCGGCGACTTCAGATCTCCGGGTCGTCGTCGTCGTCCTCCTCCTCTTCTTCTTTCTCCTCCTCCTCCTCCTCCTCCTCCTCCTCCACCTCCTCCTCCTCCCCCCTCCTTCTCTGGCAACCACGGGGGGAGGGGACGATAAGGGGACGAGGGACGGGGGCAGACGAGACGTAGCTGGGGAGGAAGGACGGAAGCGGGCGGGTAGTAGAGAGGAGAAGGAGGAAGAGGAAGAGGAGGAGGAGGACGAGGAGAAGGAGGAGCAAGAGGAGGAGAGAGGAGAAGGACAAACAAACAAAAACTATAAGAGGGAGGAGGCCGAGGGCCTCGGGAACAAACAACTGAACAATAAACTACAAAACAACTATACGAGGAAAACTATAACTACAAATTCCCAGGTCGCAGAAACGTTCCCGGGGGCCTCCTCCTCCCACCCTCCTCCATCCCCAGGCCCTCGACGGCGTGATTTTCGCATAGCGTGGACCCCGAAGGTCTCAACCCGAGTCGTGCTTTGATGGTTCCGCGGCCCTGTCGGCTCCGCGGATCACGCGGCTGGGGTGCTTCGCGCGGCATCCTGCCTCCTGGCCCTCCGCATTTCGCCTCCGCCTGCCCCCTCCTCCGCCTGCTCGCCCTGCTTCTCCCTCCCTCCTCCCTGCTCCCTCCTCCTGCCTTCCCCTCCTCCTCCTCCTCCTCCTCCTCCTCCTCCTCCCCTCCTCCTCCTCCTCCTCCTCCTCCTCCTCCTCCTTCCTCCTCCCTCCCCTCCCCCCCCTCCCTCCCTCCCTCCCTCCCTCCCTCCCTCCCTCCTCCCTGCCAAGGCTGCTGCACGCAATTCGCGAAGCGCTTCCATCTCACGGAGCACCCTCGCCGCTGCAGCCCCTGAGTGCCTGGCAGCCACCATCGAGGACGGCATCGGCCCACAGTCGCAGGAGGATGAGGTCAGCAAACAAGACGCCCTACCGAGAGGGCTGCTCAGGAAGCGGGTCGACGTGCCGGCGATACGTGCTCACGGGCCAGAACCAGAGCATCGGCGACACAAGCACACCCCAGAGCAAGCAAGGAACCTTCTCCTGGAGACCGACATCGAGCTGGACCAGGGGGCCATCGATCTGCTGAACGAGAAGCGGGTGACGACACCCCCGTCGCCACCACCAGCATTGCATGACTAGCGGTACGACCTGGAGCAGTTCAGAAAGGACCATTTCTCGGGGGTGGCAACACTGGCAGTGCCTTGGCGGATCCATCGGGCCGAGCTCTTCGTGCTCAACCTGTTCTGCGGGCACCGACGCATGGGCGACACACAGCAGGCGCTGGAGACCTCCCAAGCCTCTGCGGTAGTCTCTGCCAACACTCACATCATGATACTGAGCATTGACGTGGCCATCGACGCGGAAAGGTGCGACCTAATGCGGGCGGATAGCCTGAAGCGCATCACTGACGTCATCAAGAGCCGCCAGATCGTCCTGACGGACGGGGGCGCGCCCTGCGAGACGTGGAGCGCGGTTCTGTGGTCAGACGAGACAAGACCTCCGCCCCTCAGGTCACACGACGAGTAGTGGGGCATCCGGCTCACCACGCCGGCACAGCGAGATCAGCTCGAGGTCTGTGGCAGCCACCTGATTGCGCAGGTGCAGCTGCTGGGCACCGACCTGGTGGTGGGCACGGCTGGGTGGCCTGTACACCCCATAGCGTGCCACTGGAGGCTGCAGGCGGTGACGAGCTGGACATGGGAGCCGCTGCTGGCGCTGCAGAGCGCGCCGTGCAGCACCACGACCGACTTCGACCAGTGAGAGTACGGCCAGCTGAGCCGCGCCCCGGCCAGGCTGTATGGACTCCGCATGGCGGGGCTCCGTGGTCGCGGCGCTCACGTGACCTTGCTAGGGCGTGCAAATAATTCGAGGGCCGTCAGGGCGGCCAAGAAGAAGGTAAACCCCCCTGGCCTCTGCAGCTGCATTGCCAAGAGCATCCAGGAGACGCTGCAAGCGTTCTTGGACTCGGCTTTGCTAGAGGCTCCTAGGACTGAATCCTCTCTTCTCGTGCAGGGTCTGTCGGATTTGTATGTCACGAAACTCCTGGAGGGTGACGGGGAGTGAAAGGACGCTTGGGCCCCGGACTTCGCGAGGAAATAGGGCCGAAGAAGGCCTGATCCCGAGAGGGCACGGCTTGAGGCCCCCCATCCTCTGGCCCAATAAGTGGCCCCTGGTCCCCAGGCCCTCCTGGAGCACGTGGCTGACCCCACGGGTGAGGAAGCCTACATCGCTGCGCTCATCGGAGCCTCCCCCTCCTTCCCCTCCGTCTCCCCTCCGCCTCTCCCTCACCCCGCCTTGACTAAGGCCCAGCGATGCAGGATCTACATACAAAAAACAAGAGCCCGACGCAAAAAAACACCTGCGAGTGGCCCCGGGGGGCGCGAGCTGCCTCAATCTGCAACTGGATTGGGGCCGCGGCTCCACCATCAGGGCCAGCTGATGGGGGACATGAGCCGACCCATCCCCGCTAGGCCCCCAAAGTGGCTCAGCGATAAGTAACAGCAATCCTGTGGGCAGACGCTGAGATCGCTCGCTCGCCTCCCTCTCCTCCGCCTATTCCTCTGTCTCGTCCTTCCCCCAGTGGGGGAGGACTAGGACTGGAAGGACGAGGACCGGCTGTGGGTGTGGAGGTGCGCCTCAGGATCAGGCACGCCAGGCCCAGCGCCACAACAGGCGTTGGACAGCAGCGAGCATGCACCGGAGAGCGGGGGGGTCTTCGACATGTTGTGGGGTCCGTTGGAGGTTCAGGGAGCTCTTGCAGGTTTTGGGCGTTGCCCTGGAGGCTAGGAGGAACAAGAAGACCGATCCCCTATGGTGAGGGCGCTGGATCAGGAACCCCTGGATTAGGAATCCAGCGCCTGAAAGCCGAGCGAACGCCAATTGAGCTTCGGCTATGGATATCATCGCTGTCCTCATCGGATACGGAGCTCTCCAGGGTCTGGAGCCTCCTGGGCACATTCCTCAACGAACGCCCCCGCAGTATCACTACTGCATCGGGGTCCGAATCCTTCTGCTTCTCTGTCCTGCCCCGTCCCGTGCGGCGGGCAAGCGCCAAACCGAGGAGACGACACCGAGATGTACAGCCAAACAGAAGGGTAATAATCAAGCGTCTCGCAAGAAACCGCGCCCTCGACTGGCGAATTTCGCAGGGGATGGGTGGTAGCCCCACCCGCTTCTGCCCAGGGTCACGATCCTCTGCGATTCCGCAAGAAATCGAGGCACTCGCCCTGTAAGTAGCAAGTAGCTGAGCTGAACAACTGCTCGTGAAATCATTTCTGAGAGAGCGTAACTACCGAGATCCACCCCTGCAGGCTTAGTGCCCCACCGCCGCCTCGTCCCATGCTCGCAGAGTTGTTGGCGGCCCCCTCCTACGCCTCCTCCATCTCCTCCTCCTCCTCCTCCTCATTCTGCTCCTGCTCCTCCTTCTCGTCCTCGTTCTCCTCTTCCTCCTCCTCCTCCTCCTCCTCCTCCTCCTCCTCCTCCTCCTTCCCGTCCTCATCCCCTTCTGACCGCGCGCCGTTTGGGCTCTTTTCGCGAAAAGCCCCTGACGTAGACCACGATGATCCACGATCCTTCTCCTCCGCCTCCTCCTTCTCCTACTCGTGCTCCTCCTTCTCCTCCTCCTTCTCCTCCTCCTTCTCCTGAAGTATACATTATGACTGCTCCCCTGTTTCCCCTGACTATGCGCCTTGTGCGGGAGAAAGTTCGACACTCTCCGTGTCATGTTTCCTGTTAACCACAAGGATTCACACATGGTTCACCTGTGTGGTTTTGCAATTCAGTTGTCTTATTCGGTGTTTCAAAAGGTAGTGCTCCCGCCGCCGCGTGGGCCTCATTTTAAGATTGGCGCTGTACTCCTGTCGCTCTCGTCCCAGCGCGGGGCAGTTTTCTGGATCCGAGTCCGTTTTGATCGTTGTCGCACCGCTCATTTCCCCTCCTCCGCCTTCCCCTGGTCCTCCTGCTCCTGCCACTCGACTTCCTGCTGCTGCTGCTCGTCATCTGCCTCCTCCTCCTCCTCTCCTCCTGCTCCTCCTCCTCCTCCTCCTACTCCTACTCCTTCCCCATCCTCCTGCGTTTCCTCCTGCTCATCCTCCTGCTTACCCGCCACCTCCTCCTCCTCCTCCTCCTCCTCCTCCTCCGTATGCAGCTCCCTTTTTCGATTACGCATAACAAGCTGGGGGTCTTTTCTGATGTTCCAGGTCGGCTGTGACACGCATCCGCGGATACAGAGAAAAACAACGCCATGGGAAGGACATTGGAAGAGGGATAGGATGTCAGACCTGGCGCGAGCCACCTAGCTTGTTATCGTCCTCTCTCTCTCCCCCCCTGTGGATTGTCTTCTCCTCCGTGGCATCTGCGACAGGGGACGGCTGCAAGATAGGACAAAGACGCGCGCGGCGACCATGATGATGGACCATGGAACGCAGCTTTGCTGGCAAGCGTTCGGCAAGCGGCACGACAGAACGGCTGGGCAAACTATCAAACACCAACATCATGTTTTGCAACGGCGGGCACTCTTGGTTTAACAGCTAGAGCGTGAAACAAACAACATATACCGGAAACGGGTACCAGGCCACGGGACGTTCCCAATGTCTGGCCTATCATCCCGCATCGTCTTCGACAGTCCCAGTTCCCAGGGAGGAGCCCCGCAACAACGAACGACCTGCAGGACCCCCTTTCATCCAGAAGCCGCCTCTATTCCTGCTTGCGGGCGCCGCAAAGCGCTCTGGCCGTGAGACCCGCCCCCCCCTGGTCACCAGGATTCCCTCTGGGACCACGGTGATCATGTCCAGCTGTTGACCCTGCTCGCCCCGCCCAGACCGCATGTGCCTCATGACCTCGGCCGCCTCCGACGGGAGCGGGGGGAGGGCAGGCGCGATGGGGGAGGGGAGAGGAGAGGATGGGAGGGAGGACCGCGTCCGATGGAGCCGAAGAGAGGGCATGTAAGTAGGAGCGAGTGTGCAAAGAGGCTCCATGCTGATGGGGTCACCTCTGCCCAACCCGACACACCAGACTGGGGCTAGAGCCGTGCGCCGGTACCCTGACCCATCCAGGTGCCACCGATCTGGCGATGCCGTGTAGCTGGACGTGAGCAGTCCTTGCACCAATCAGAAGTGGATGGGAAGGGAGGTGGAAGAGCCCTTCGAGTGTAGCATCTCCGCCACCACGCGAGGTTAGTCCCCCTTCCCCCCTGAACCTTTCCTGCTAATTCCTGGCCCGACAGGTAGGGATCGTGAAATTTTAAGAACAGATCTCCCGACCTGCCCACCCTGCATAGCGCGGCCGCCAGATCTCCAGGTCCACGGAGTCGCCGAGACTCCTGCCCTCCCGACCCGACCAACCCAGTCTGCATACCGCGGCCACCAGATCCCTAGGTCTATCAAGAATCCCCGAGACTCCCGCTTCTCAGAGCATGACGAACCATACATAACTACATATACATCACATAATGTGTCATGGTCGTACATCTACTAATAACTGAACAGGACATGGTAAAATCACAGGGTGGCACAACTAAACCTGTTATGGCAGAGCATATCATACATACCATATCAACGCAGAGCGTAACTTACCATGCCATCTCATATCACAACACAATGCCGCATGCCAACACAATACATACCGTACAGCACCATATCATAACATACCGCTGTGACATATTATACCATATCAGGAAAAACCATACCAGGACAGGACGCGCCTCAACCCATAACCACCATCATGCCATAACAAGCATACTGCATCAGAGCACTTCATGGTATACCATGCCACACCATGACACATAGTCGAACATGTCATAGCATAACAACACCTCCTAGAACAGGGCGGTGCATTCTAGAACAACACATCGTTACTGGCATAACCTGCCATGTGAGTGGTACCAGTGCTACCGCGACGGCAAGAACTGCGATACAACATCATGAACTATCACATGTTGAGGAATCGCATAAACTACCATAGCATAACATTGAATACTTAACAGTATGCAGCGTAGCACTCATACCATACCATACTTGTTGTACCACTGATGCCACTACGACAGCGAACGTGATATACCACCACCAGCTAAAACGTAGCTGAAGAGGTATACAATAGCCTGCGAAGCTCATAACATAACAGCATGACACTAGTATAGCGTACCCCACCTAACACGACATAACATGCCATAATAGCACAACAAACCATATCAGTTATCTGATGGCAAGATTGATGATACCAGAGTGTGTAGATGTGTTTTAATGAGCCGCCACTGAAGGGACACATTACAACACCATCGACCGTAATGTATATAACTAAGCGCGTCGTGCGCGTCGACGCTAGGCTGGTCACACGAGCCCATAGGCGCAATAATGACCGATTGGACGATGTATCTAATGTGGCAAGCGTCACGACATCACGCCGGCCCGTCGAGAACACAATTATATATAATACACAGTAGCGAACTAGCAAATGATGGAATGTAAAGCAGTTGAATACTGTGACATGCAGCCGCGGCAGACTCATGGTGCCCCGCCAAGCGCAGCATCCACGCCGACGTTTGGCTGGCCACAGGACAAACACAGGCGCAACAACGACCGATTCGACAACACATCAAACGTGACAGGCGTCACGTCGTCACGCCGCCCCCTCGAGAAGAAAGGAAGAAACGTGCATAGAGCAGAACATAACCGAGCATAACGTCACAGAGTATAATACAGCAGAGACCGAGTACTGCCGTCCTGTAGTACGCGACATACGCGCCGAACCCACGCTGGCCATAGAAACAAACAGTCAACAACGACCGAGTAGACGCCATATCAAACGTGGCAGGCGCCACGGCGCCACGCTGGCCCGTCCAAAACAAAACAACACATAACATAATGCTAAGTACTATGCTCGGGCAGAATCCAAGCTAACATAAGTTAGACCAACATTGCACGGTAAACACCAATTTACGGCGCCTCACCAAACGAACATAATACCGTACTCGACTGAACACTACTATCATCAAGCGCGACGTGCGCGCCGAGGTCAGTCTGGCCACAATCACAAACATACACAGCAGCTACCGATTGGACGACATATCGAACGTGACAGGCGCCACGACGTCAGGCCGCCCCGTCGAGAGCACAGCATACCACAATACAGCATACCACACTAGAGCATGATGGCACATAGTACAGCCGACTACTGCTAAACACAGCGGCGATAGATCCACGGCGCCTCGCCAGGCGCAGCATCCACGCCGACGTAAGGCTGGCCACAGGACGAATACACGCGCACTAACGACCGTTTCGACGACATATCAAACGTGACAGGCGTCATGTCGTCACGCCGCCCCCACGCGAAAAGAACAGAAGAAATCATATGTGCATCTACTTAACAGAGCCAAGCCGAATGTCAAACAGTATAATACAACAGACACCGAGTAATGCCGTCCTATCACGCGCGACATGCGCGCCGAACCCACGCTGGTCACACAAATTAGCCGGACGAAAAAAAACAAACCATATGCTGCTGTGGGTACCGAGTGGGAGAACCCCTCGGTGAAGCTCCTTGTGGGGCCACGAACCGTGTGAAGGGTGTGCCGAAACTGTGGCGGCGGTGCCATGCGGACGCTCCCGCTGGGGCCTTCGGTGAAGCTCCTTGTGGGGCCACAAGGCGTACGAAGGGTGTGCCAAAAGGGGGCGGCGGTGCCATGCGGACGCTCCCGCTGGGGCCTTCGGTGGAGTTCCCTATGGGGCCACGAACCGTGTGAGAGGTGTGCCGAAATGGGGCGGCGGTGCCATGCGGACGCTCCCGCTAGGGCCTTCGGTGGAGCTCCCTATGGGGCCACGAACCGTGTGAGGGGTGTGCCAACATGGGGCGGCGGTGACGCATGCAACCGCTGCCATTCTGGCCTTCGGTGGGGCTCCCTGTGATGCCACGAACCGTGTGAGGGGCGCGGCGCTGAGGATGGCGATGATCATGACGTTGTCGATCATGACGTTGGCGATGGTGATGACGGTGATAACGATGACGATGACGATGCGGATGGGAGGAGGGAGAAGGGGGAGGAGGAAGGGGGCAGCGGGAGGAGGTGAGACGCGGGGCGCTGTCTCTTCAAAACGAAGACCCAACACCACAGATGGTTGGGGAAACATGGTATCGCTCACACGACGCGCTTTTGTTTTTTGCTCCAGAACGTGTTTCGGTTTCTTTCGTCAGGGGCTTCCCTCCTACGACACTCTGGGGCTGTTGGATTTTAGAGCAACGGCGCCTTGCGACCTGGCCATGCGCGCATCGTTCCAGTAGGCGCGAGCACCGTCGCTCGAAGCCAAGTGTGTGTGTATGTGTGTGTGTGCTTCAATAGGTGTTTCTGTCACTGGCGAACCTTGTGAATAAGGGCCCCGATCTCCATCCACACGCCTCACTAGCAGTGCAGCGCGTCTCGACTCTTAGAACGAAATCGCGCGCCGACCAGGGGGGAAGGATGAAACCCCCTCCCAACTTCATCGACTCCTGGAGAGGTCCCGACTTCATCAGCGGGGTCCAGGCGCACACGTCAAGAATACCCATCCCTTGAGAGCAGCGCGGCGATGCGTCCGAATCGGCGTACGCATCGTCCACCATCATTCCTCCTGCTCCTCCTCCTCCTCCTCCTGCTCCTTCTCTTCCTCCTCTTCCTTGTCGGATGATCCCTCGAATTCCGCCGAACTCACACACATACTTTAAACGAATGGAGAACAATGTCCCCTCCACTCCATCCTCTTCCTCTGCCTCCTTCTCCCCCGTCAACCCCATTAATGTCGTCTTGCAGTCCTTCTCCTTTTCCCCCCCTTCCTCTCGATGTGTTTCTCCGTTCTTCCCCCCTCCTCCCGCACTCGTCTACAATTACACAATATGAAAATACTCTCCCACTTCCCCTGATGGCGTCCCGAAGATATCCGACACCCCCCCGCGTATTGTTTTTTACACACAGGATTCCCGGGAAACGGGTTTTCGCTTGTGTTTTTTTTCAAAATGCTGCTCTCGCTGAGGCGCCGGCCTCATTTCTGCTCCCGAATCGTTCCGAATCGTGCTCCCGCTGCAGCGTGGGCCTCATTTTCGGATCGGTGTTTGGCCTCCGTCGTTCAGGATGGCGTTCTCGCCCCAGCGCGGGCCTCTTTCTCGCGCGCCCATCCGCCCGCCACCACCGCGCCGCACCACCACCACCACCACCACCACCACCACCACCACCACCACCACCACCACCAGCACCACCAGCACCACCAGCACCACCAGCACCACCAGCACCACCAGCAGCAGCACCACCACCACCACCACCACAACCACGCACACACGCACGCACGCACGCACGCGCACCACCACCCACTACGCACGCGCGCGCGGAGCCACAGGTCCGCTACGACACGCGTCCGCGGATAAAAAAACAGCGCCATGGTAAGGGATGGGAGGGAGGGGTAGGACGTCAGATATGACGCGAGCGCACCTAGCTTGACTCCTCCCCCTCCCTCTCCTCCTCCTCCTCCTCCTCCGCCTGCGATGTCCTTCTCCTCCTCTTGGGAAGCCTCATGCGCTCCTAATCCTCCGCCTCCCTCCTCCGTCCTCCCCTCGTTCTCCCCCCCCCACCCTACTCGTCCTCCCGTATTCCTCCCCCTCAGCAGGAGCCTCCGAAAGGCTTCCAGGAGGCTTCAAGAGGCCTCAGACCCCGGCGAGGTGGCGGGATGCGCCGAAGGCCAGTGGATCTGCCGCCCCCGTTTGCTTGCAAAGGGATGCATGGCTTGTTAGACGGCAGTGGCCGCGCGCGCAGGGGGAGGAGGCGGAGGAGGAGGAGGAGGGGGAGGAGGAGGGGGGGAGGAGGAGGGGGAGGAGGGGGAGCAGTGGC